AGAAAATAAGATCTAAACACCAACCACCGCTGATAATCGAGTAATTGGAATTGGAGAAATCTTATGAATTATGAAGTCACTTTAATTATTTAGAATGTTAGATATATTATTTTAATTAACTGACTAATTTTACGGAAACCATGTAGAAATTTTAGAATCAATTTTATCAAAATAACAATTTTTAAATAATAATAATTTAACATTGAATTAGATATTTCAAAAGCCCGGATCTTAACAACTTGTAAAATTTAAATTAATATTCTAGTTTACCACTTTACAAGTAAACGTCGTATTGGTATATTTTCATGATTTAAAATTTAAACATGAAACTTTTTATAAAATAAATCGAAAGAAGATAAAATTATGCCATATTAGATTCATTCCACATAGATTAAATAATAAGCATTAATATTTCTAATTTATCTTTACTTTATAGATTTTGAGAAAGAGTTGCAGATTCAATTTTTAAGTAGAGTATTTTGAGATTATAATGATATTTTCTCTTTTTTTTAATAATCTTTATATTCTGCAGAAACTATTAATATGACTCTATGAAATTTAAATTATAAATTAAAGAGACATTTGATGAAATATCAAATTATTATCAATTATCTTCAATTAAAAAATGACCTTTGAATTTAAGGGTATTATTAGTCAGAATAAAAATAATTGCAAAACTTCATTATAATAGTTATAATTATCAATATTTATTTGCTGTTGGTTTTGGATTGATTTAATAAAATTCATGACAAGGTAAAGTAAACAAATATTAATTTTTCTATGAATTTCTGAAATAAATCCATAAATTTAAACTATTACATTAATTTATGATATATATATATTTTAATTATTTTTTATATGTTTTAATAGAACGACTAATAACCTAATCCATTACAATAATAAAATAACTCTGAAGAATCATAGCTTCAAAAGGATAATCAAAATAGTTAGGCCAACGAAAATCAACCATAAAATTATTTTTGGCGTAATATCCCATATTCAGAATAATAGATCTAATCAAAAAATCAAATAGAAAATTTAATTCTTCTTATTTAAAGTATTCCAAATGATATTTTCGTAAATAAATAATTCTTAGAAAAAACTTGCAATAAAATTTAATAAAAATTTTTATAGTAATATGATGATGTTACAGATATTGAATAATTACACCAAATAATTGACAAACAATATAACAAAAAAATAAAAGAATATGAATTATAAATATCTGAAACCCCTAACCTTATTTATGAATGGGAGGATAAAGTTAATATTTCAGAAATATATTAAATAATGAAAATAATTAAAAGCCCTAATAGAAATGTGTATTTAACAAAAGATATAACTAAAGAAATATATTTTGATGAAGTAAAAGAAAATTTTAATTCAGGGGAATAAGAATATTTGAATAACATAGAAGACTTATAAGAAAATTTGAAAGGGCAAGGCATTTTTGAGAATTTCAAAGTATAGCCTTTATAGGTTTTAAGGAAGCAATTAAATATAATTAAATAGATGGAATTTAATTAATAAGATACTGTAAATTGTTTTTTATTAATGTAATAGTTTTTGTATTTTGAAATTTATAAAATATTGGCATTTCCTTACCTGTGCTTAAATTAATGTTATAAATATGATGTCGAGGCTTAAAGTGTGCATTTTTAGCTTCCAAAGAATATAAACATTGAGGTTAGATCTAATGAGATCTAACAAATTCCTCTATTGAATGAGAATTCAATAATAAGGTTGATTCCAACCTCTTTATTTTAGAGCAATTTATTATCATTTCTAGGCATTATAGATATATTCAAATTGAGAATAGTTTGTAGATTTTTTAAAACAATGTAATAATATTCTTATTGAATTTTAGAGTCGAAAAATACTGGTATATTCCTTCTAAGAAAGAAATTATATAGTATGAAATAGCAAAAGATTTAGCTTACAATAATGAACATTTAAAGAATTTATAGACTGCTGCATAAACACTTAAATAGAAACTACGAACTTGTGTTGATATTATATTAAACTTGATTAATTGGAATGATTTACATGAATAAATAGAAACTGGTTAAATTGAAATTGATATTTATAGACCACTTATTATGATGCTTAGATTATTTAATAAATAATAGAAGATTTGTTATCATTATGAAATTGATGGTTAATTTAGTATATTTGAATTAGCAAAGGATATTAAATAACAGATTCTTGATTACTTAAATATGGAATTTATACCTTTAAGTTTTACATAAATGAGACAACTTTAATAATAGGCATTGTCATCACCTGAATTTAATATTATAGATTCAATTAATTCTGAACTAAACTTGAGTTAATTACTTACATTTCTTCTTCAAGCTCTATATTTTCATGGATGGATGGCTTAAGTAATTACAATCTATAAGGAAATATTAAAAAAGAGAAACAAGTAAAAAATTCATTTACAAAATAGAGAACTATAAATTATTGATTAAAAATAAAATTATAATAAGGACTTCATAAAATAAGCTTGTAAATATATTTATAAAATGAATGATTTTTCACCTAGCAAAGACACTGAAGAACAAATTGAAATAATGACTCAAATAGTATTATTGACTTTTTTCTATATAGGGTCAAATATTGTAAGAGAGTTTAAGACATATAAATTTTTGCTCAGATGCAAATCCTTAAACTCACCCTTAAGGTGTTATATATTAAAAAAATGCTATCATCAAAATCCATTTAGATATCTATTTCTAAATTGAAATATTAACATATATATGTTCTAGTTAAAAATATTACTTTGAAGATGTGGTTGATGAAAAATTAGAAATGTAATTTAACTAAGATTAAACAATTAATAATGCAGAAAAGGATAATTTTCCTAATTTAGAAGAAAAGTAATAAAATTATTCAATGGAGGAAAACTCTATGTAACAAAGAGAAAGCATTCATCTATAACAAGATATTAATTATTTAGAAAATGAGTATAATTGATATATATTTTAATTACAGCTTTAATATAGTATTGAAAAAACCCATAATACAATTTTGTTTGATATTTAAAAAACTTATAATATAAATAACTTAATATCTAGAATATTATTTATTTTTAGAAATTATCTTTTAGTAATAATAATAAATTAAAAAAGCTATAAATCAGATTCTGACCATTCTCCTGTTTATATTTTTTTCTTGTAGAATCATTATTTTATCATATTAGAATTTCTTATCTAAGTGAATAATTTCTTCTAAATAGAAATGATTATGAAAAGGCAGAACTCAAAACATTCATAATATTTAATTGCTTCCTAGCTAATAAAGTTTCAAAGAATATAAGCTAAAATCTTCAAATTTCATCACTAAAAATCTCTTTTTAAACATTGTCAAATTTATGAAAAGCAATAAAATTTTCATAAGGATTTTTTGAATAAAGATATTTTAGGTTTAAATATTTTTCTTACAATTTTATAATGATATATAAGATCTAATATAAAATTTTTATGATCAAATTGTAATCTAATTATATA